TGTATCGTCCTGCGAAAGCGGTACAGTACACTCCCCTTTTCATCTCTCTCTCTCTCTCTCTCTCTCTCTCTCTCTCTCTCTCTCTCTCTCTCTCTCCGCAGCGCCGTTCAAAAGTGCAAGATGGCAACCCATCTTCCCGCAAACGCGGGAGGATTCATTCCGTTTGTACACCTTCAAAAGTCTCTCTCTCTCTCTCTCTCTCTCTCTCTCTCTCTCTCTCTCTGTGTGTGTGTGTGGCACGGGAAAGAAAAGGACAACCGTTTTTTTTTCTTCTTGGTTTTCCTTTTCCTTTTCCTCATTTTTCTTTCATTTTCTTTTTTCCATTCTTCATTTTCAGAAAATCGAATGCCTTTTTTTTTTTTTTTTTGGCCCCTCCGTTTCTTACTCCTCTTTCAGGAACACGTCCGGGAAGTGAACGCCCGGTAGCCCCAGCCTCGGCATGGATCGGCATACCGGTCCGCTGAGGCTCGGAATGGATAGCTGGGCCAAGTACTGGTGCTCGGACTGCAATATATGGGACGCTGGACCCGTTTTCCAGCAGCAGTCTAACCCTGCTCCGGGTTGAATTGTGGAGGGATTCCCGGCCTCCTTTTGCCATCATATTTAATAGATAAAACATTTTTCAAAAAAAAAAAAAAAAAACCTCTTACCCCCGTGAATACCAGTAAGAGCTGCACTTTTCTTCGGGTAAGTCCCAATTGGAGCCTCGCACTCCTTGGAATGTAGCTGACCGTGGATTTCCGGGACCACCAGTTCACCCCACCAATGTGAAAAGTCCCAGTTGGAGGCTCGCACGCCTTAGAGTGTAGCTTCCTCAACTTTGGCTCGTGTAAACTTGTGTGCATGATCCCGGCCAGTTCTGGCATAACTTCTAACTAGGAGTTCATACGGGGAGGCGGGAAGGAACGGGGGAAAAAAACAGAGGCGGTGAAAAGGAACAAGTAGCACAAAGCAACCGCACAGAGAGAAGGGGAACACTACCCACTTGCCAAAACTTTGGTTTCTTACTTCACCACTTCTAGACAGCACAAGCCGACGTTTTAACTTTTGCGCCGACTGGTGGCTGGACCCGCGGGGAATTGCAAAGGACCTCTCGTCGCCTACGATCGCCCCGTCATGGACGAGAGGGCAGAAGTGCAAATGCCCTCCCCATACACGAGGAGAGCGACCGGCAGAAGGGGAGAGAGAGAGAAAGGGGACGAACGTAAGGGTGCACAAGTCGTCAGATCTTGATTCACGGATTGCTTAGTTAGAGAATCACAACCATCAATACGCCGCACCCTTCTGTAGACATCTGACAGGTTTCCAACCATCCTCGTGCAGACCTGTACATCGAAAGCCCGGTCCCCTTATTCGACAGCCCTCTTTTCCTCGCGTGCTGGGGGATTTAAGGGTCTGGCCGGCAATATTTTCGATACAACAACAGGGGATGCGCACACACAATTAGTACCAATCTCGGTCTTTCGCTCCCTTTAAACTTAAATGTACGCGAGATTCCTCTGATACGTGCATTCTGTCGTCAGTTACGCTGGCTAAGATGGCAAAGTCCTACCCCTTCTCAATCCTATTCCCTGACCCCTTTAACGGCCACCCCACTTCAACCGTGCCCACGTTTCACTGTTCACCTCTCCTCCCTTGCTTGCCTGTGCGCTGTACATATCGTCCCGTACTTAGTGAGTAGGAAGGCATTTTCAGGCAGCATGCACCGTAAGCAAGAGGGAAAAAAGGAAACTCTGTTTCCAATTCTTATTTCTACTCCCATTCTTTTTAACAAAACATTATGTCCGGGTTGTTTCGCGTGTTTCAGACGCAAGATTCCCCACCAGGGCATGCACTTGGGCCCCCCTCGCCAAATGTGAGAAAAAATAAGATTGCCGAGTGTACATTTCCCCCTTTCGCTGGAGACAGACTCGCCACTTCACTCACTCGGCGAGCAGAGCAGCGAGAGAAAGAGAGAGAGAGAGGTGACACGGACTTTCGTTTATTTTTCCCTGGTCATGTACGCTCGTCTTGTGAGAAAACGACAGCGAGAGACGAGGGAGCTGAGAGAGGGAGCGCCAAAATCCACTTTTATGTTGGGGGAAGAGGGGAGACGGCGTGCCGGAACGTGGAAGGAAAACATGGGAAGAGGGAGAGAACGATGCAAGATGAAGGGCCAACGAGCAATTCCTTCAAACGAGTAGATCAATGCATTTCTTGATGTGCCGAGATTTCTGACATTGAAACAAAAACAAAAATCCAGAGAAAGGGAAAAGGAAAAGGAAGAGAGGATGCCATCGCTCCACAGTGTTGTCCAATCATTCTCCGTCCTCTCTCTCTCTCTCTCTCTCTCTCTCTCTCTCTCTCTCTCTCTCTCTCTCTCTCTCTGGGGGCCGCCCTTCACCGTGCGCTACCTCCTTCCCCCTCCGCCAATCCGCGCCCTCTTCCCACAATCGCAATAGCAATCGGTCCTATACATCTTTGTATCTTTTTGATACTCTATCTCCCTCGCCATGCCCCCCCCGCCTCACCTCATTTTCTATACCATGATGCCGCCCACCGCTAGTCGCGCCAGCGAATCCCATCGTCAAATTCACAGTGAATACCACCAAGCACGGCCCTTTCAATCAACATACGGATGTACAACTAACACTCTCCCTCCTTCCTTAATTTTCCTCATTCTTTCCTTTCCCCATTTCCTCTTCCTGGCGGCAGATTGAGGCCACGCTCCCTTCCCCCCCCCCCCCCCCTTCAACCAGGACCCCTCCCACAGCTGGGACCACTCGTCGCTTTGCTAACCTTTCCTTTCTGCCCTTTAGTCCCATATCGTGCGCAGATCAAACCATGATCTCTCTCTCTCTCTCTCTCTCTCTCTCTCTCTCTCTCTCTCTCTCTCTCTCTCTCTCTCTCTCTGTGCGAGTCCCTACTCCTCTCTCTCCCCCTATCTACCCCACACATAGGCTCACGTACGCAAGCTCCGGAGGAAAGGGAAAAAAATAACGAGCAAGGAATAGAGTGAGGCAGAGGAGAGCAAAAGCCGGACGCAACAACAAGGCACATAGTGCTTTTCTAGCAGCAGGCGGCTAAAATACTCACTGGAAGGAATATACAAGACGCGGTTGAGGTCCTGGCTTAGTGAGAAAGGTCGTCCGGCCACCGGATTAGCAGCCCTGATGGCTTCCAAGGTTGAATTGAGAGTGCTTATGGTCTTCTCCAATGTGAAGCTAGCCACCCCCTTCGCAGGGAATGTCACGATCGATACGAAGTTGTTGTTTGGATCGTCCAGATTCCTGAGAAATTCTCGGCAAGCGCAAGGTACGGGCACCCTCTGTGGATGTCCCGCGAACAAACTGTCCGTCTTATCCGCTGTTTGGGTTCTCAAATCTGCAACGGTCGTCAGGCCACCGTACTGCTCCTCAATCTTTACAAGCGTATCTTCAGGTTCCACGTTGTAATTGAAGTAGGTGATCATTCGTGTCGGGAAATTCGGGTCACAAATGCACTCCTTGATGGGAATGAGCAAAGTCACATTGGGTTCAAATCTCGATCCCCCGGGCCATCCGCCCACCGGGTCGGCCAAGTTCCTGATGATCGATGATTGACCCACGCCAAACAGGCGCTGTATGTCCGTCGTTGTTTGTCCTTGCCGCACAGTATAAACCAGTGCTGCCGGACATTTCAATTGGCACTCGAGCCCGTCGCACACGCTGGAAGACAACACAATTAGCAACGCCAGGGCTCGACCCCCCGACGTCCAAACAGTCGTCGCCGATCTGCAGCCGTTCCTCCGTTCTTGTATTTCCAATTTCATATCGCAATCACCTCTTCCTCCTCCTCCTCCTCCCCCTCTCCGTTTTCCTCGCGCCTTCTTCGCAATCTCGTCCCATTTTGCACCCGCAAGAGCGGATAACCATCTAGCTTCCGGGAAGAGGGAGGTGTCTACGGCATTCTTCCGGCCCCCCTTCTTCATCCCCGTCAACATCGTCTCACCGCCCTCTCACTGAGCAGAGAGGATCATTCTGCACCCGCACGGCTTACTCCATCCGTTTCTCTAAGTATGCCCTCCCTCACTGACGGCTTCCTCCGATTGCTGCGGTGCGCTCTCGGCGGCACCTGCTCACTGACAGGTAATTTTGACAACTTCGATGGCGATGGCGCTATCTCCAGTCGCCGTCTCCTACTCTCCTTCAGCCCGTCTCTACCTCCAAAACCGTCGCCAGCATTTTTCATCCGCACACCTCATACCTTTCATTCTCTGCGCCCTCCTCCCCTGATCCCACGCATGAGAGGCATCTACTCGGATCCACAGAGAGAGGAGGAAGGAGGGAAGGAGGGTTGGAGGGGAAGGAGGGAAGGAGGGAGAGAGGGAGTCGAAAAGCCCAACAATAGAGAGGGACTGGAGAAAAAAGGGTGCAGCTCCCTCGCTTGCTCCACGCTTAGCGGCAAGTGGAGCTCCCTTGCTTGATCCAGCAGAGAGATGGCTGCCCAAGGCCGTCACGCTTCGACCCGAATGGCTGAATCGCATACCGCTATCTGTCCGCCGTACCAGGGACCCGAGCGGACGGGAGCGCGTGAGGACCGGAAAAATGGGGGGATTAGGGAAGGGCAGTGGGCGCGGCGAAGGGCGTCGTTGGGACAGAACCGAATGCGTCGCACCCGCGTTACCGACCGACGCGGGCACGGAGGGGTGAAGAGCGCGAGCCCGACCAAGTGGGGAATTGATGACGTTGCGAACAAGCCGGAAGAGGACGAGCGGAGGGGTTGCCTTTGGAAGGGCGGACGGGACGTCGGCAGGTAGTGCGTGAATTGTCCACAGCAGGCGAATGGCTACAGGGAGTGTACAACTCGACGACTCGAAGTGAAAGCAGGGCTCCAACACGCGCTGGGCCCCGAGTCCCGTCCGCAGCTAGGCTGTTCTTCGTTGCAAAATGTTTGCGCGCCAAGAATTCAACCACGAAAAGCTACGCTACGACAGTCAATCGCCGGTACGGCTGTCCTGTCCGTCGTGTCCATTCCACAAGTATCCATGTATGTAGCCCACGAATAGATTGGAGCATTTTGTCCCAAAAAAAAAAAAAAAGTATCCATGTATGTATACCCTGTACAAACAGACGCCTTACCAAGGGAGAGAAAATAAGTCGCAAAAGCAGCGTGCCGGTGGTCAACTCGCAGTTCAGTCGAACTGGGATCATCCAGCTGCCCCATCTCCCTGGTTAGGGAATTTTCGTACTACCACCCTTTCTTAACGTATTTTTATTTTTTATTTTTATTTTTCTTTTTTTTTTTAATTACACGACGATACCGCCACTAACCTGGGGTGGTACGAGCCCACCAGGTTAGTCCCGGTTAATCGAGGGCTCCAATCTATTTGTGGGGAGCTACACATGCTGGAAACCGGGTACAGAAACTTTGAAACACTCTCTGAAATGCAGCTTCCTACCGAAATGCTATGCCTCTTCACCTGGTATAACAGGCGCCAGATATTCCTGATAAAACTGGCTATTGGCTATCCCTCTTATAACAGAAACTGCATCCTCTCTGCATCCTATATATCTAATGTGTCCAATGTGTCCCATGTGTTTCGACTCCATCGTGATTCTATTACCTTCTCTATTGACGAAACCTGGATACCCCAGGCTCCTTTCTTGTTGAGGTTGACAGACTTCACTGAAGGGTCTAGACTCAAAACCATGTAGGAATTGACAGACATTCTCGAGGCACTTCCCTACCGATACTGCCTCCCCCTACAGCCTCCCCGAAAGCTCACGGGGGTCTGGGCCCCAACAACCACGGAGTAAGGGAGATGCCTCCATTCGCCTTCCTACTGACTAGTCTTCCCTCCAATCCCCAAGTTCCAAAAAACCACTTGTATCTTGTTCGTCTGTATTTTCTTCTCCTCCAGTCAGCCCATATCATCGATCTAATACTGTCTAAAATCTCTTTGAGGATAGAAACGTCCGAGTAGTGTTTAGCCTTAAACAACCTATCATTTCTCAGCTTCCATATCACATTCATGATTGCAGATCTCACAGCTATGGCAATGTAACCCCATCCCTCTTTGAAGGGAACCTTGGGAGGTAAGATCTGTGACGCGCAACCTCACGCCCTGTGCTGTCTTTCGTTCGGAGTGTTGGACGTGAGGAAAGAGGCCCAGAAAAGCAGCAAGATGGGGTGTGCAAAAGATTTTTGGAAATTGAGTGTGGGGACACAGACGGAACTGAAATCCCCCGTGTTGGTCCGATGAAGCAAGTCGATTGCTTTCGCTCGTCGCAGAATGCGCGCGCGGGCAAGGCGCGAAGAGAGAAAAATCCAAATTCAATCCAAAAAGTATTGTCGGGCTTCCCACCGGGCTACAGCCCGTCGTTTAGAACGAAAAGGCTCTGGCACGCTTCGCGTGTCTCGTTTTCGTATCAAATCTCGTCGTCGTTCGCTGGTCAGTTCCGAGTCCGACATGGATGTTCTCAGCCGCGTGGCTCTTTCTTTATGCTCGTCTTCACTCTGCACACGGTAGTGGAAACCCCTAGATTCGTAGCGCTCAAAACGCTGACATTCAGTGCATAGAGTGCGCGGCCAGTGGGGTTCTACTGCCGTCCACGGGATGACAATCAACTCGTTGAATGGCAACAATATCAAGTAAGGTGGGAAGTGCGTATCGATAATGACAAACCCGACCTCTACAAATCCGGAACAGCGGTTGGCCGATTTGTGCGACAGCTTCTCGTACGTCCCACTCGCATACACGTGTCCTTTACTCGTTGTAGGGAAAAGGCCGTGTTGAGACGGGAGGTGCGGGAGGCTGGCGCCAGATCGGAGGGTACTTGTCAGTCCACATATCAATCAATTGCAAAGACCTTGGGACGTCATCAAGCAAAGAAAACACTCG